ACCCTAAACCCTACACCCTAAAGGGAAGCCGCTGGGGTGCGTGGTTCAGGCTTTTCAGGGCGGGTCGGGCTCGAGAGGTCCCAGCCCAGGCTTCGCAGTAAAAATCTTTTACTGCAAGCTTGGCGCCAGAGGCCCGGTGTAGGGTTTAGGGGTTTAGAGTTTAGGGGTTTAGGGGTTGAGGGGTTTAGGGGTTTAGGGTTTAGGGCCTTTTGGATTGAATTAAAATCCAAAATCAAAGCCTTCAAGCTCCCGTGAAGATTTTGGGGATCTTAATCCCGGAGATTCCGGAAAGCCGTGAACCCCAAAGCCCAACGCCCCCGAACCCTGAAGCCTTAAATTGCAAGATCCCAAACCCCCGGAACCCCAAATTCCTATGAGACCCTGACGTGGGTTTAGGCTTCAGGGTGGAGGGTATACGCTGAACCTGAACCCCGAAAAGACGAAGATCAGCAGCGAGGAAGTAGGAAGCCTCCCCCCCAGAGGTGAAGCCCTCGTTAGCTTTGTGACGAAGCTGCCAGATGCATTCCAGGCAGGAGGACGGGGAGTATAGAAGGCCTGATAAGTACAAGATTGCCAATCCTACTCTTTGGAGCTCCTTCGTATTGTAGTTCAATCATTCCCTCCCTGCAGTTACCACGTACTACATGCTGCGTACTACGTACTACATGCTATTTACCACATCTTAGTGCGACGACGACAACGACTGACTGCTGCTACATTCATGTAGCTGAACGAGGATGTCGCGTGGACTGATGGGTCTATATCTTGTACTTCGGCTTCCGAAAGCCGCTGTTCCTCGATGTGGGGTGGACAGCAGTGCATGTGAGCCGCGGTCGATGGGGGGGTTCCTAAAGTTCGTGTATTTCCTTGTGATGTCGGGTTGTTGTGATTTAGGGTCTCCTTTCTCCGAACTCTCTGATACAAATTTGTGAGTAATGTGACAGTAGCTCGTATGTCTTGCGTGCCGGTGCGGTGTTTCTGCAGAGCTTCGCATCGTGGGTTTTACTTCCCAGAGCTCATGCACTGGCTTCCGGGCGGTTCTGCCTTGGACCGCCCGAGCTCGATCAACACTGTCCAACAGACAAAGTGATGCAGGTGCCTGAGGAGGAGCTGGTGGTGCCATCGAACCTTGAGCGATACGGCCTGTCTGAGGCAAGCGCAGGGATTTCCAACTATCGATGTGATGGAGTGCTGATGGACACGAAACAAATTAGACACTGAAAAAGACGTTGATGATGCTGTTTTCAAGATGGGCTTAGGAGAAGATGTGAAGACGAGCGTGGTGACAGCCTTTCTGATCATAATCTTGCTGTTAAAAGTTATTGCTGTTGATTCCTGGAGAGCGTGGTGGTGAGGATGGTGATAGTACTGATGACGATGATAACGGAATGAGAGGAGGATTACGGCGAGGACGAAGATGATGACTGCACCGCAAAGCCCCAATACCTCCCAAATCTCCAGCTGGCACTGAGGCGAGTAGAGCTGCCACGCATCACCTCAGTTGCGCTTATCGGCAGGTAGCAGAGACATTAAGCCGAGCTTCCCCTCCGACCTGCGAAAGCTGAAGCCTTCTTCCTGAAGAAACCGCCGACAAGATGCAAAAAAACCCAGAGCACTTGCGTCTCCAGTGTAGCTTGTATCCAAGCCACAATCCTAAAAGCTTGCACCTAGAATTGGCTTAGCCTCAAACGGACACCTCAAGAGCCAAAACGGAGACCCAACATAACAACCAAGCATTTGTGATACACTGTACATGCGACCTCAGTTATGAGAGCTACACAAAGTAATATTGGCTTTCATAGGGTGAGCCAGATTCGATCCTTCCTTTTCAAGCCCTGGGAAGGTCGTGAACAGGCTGCTGGCCCGGGAGAAGTCGACCTCCCAGCTGGCGAGCATTGCACGCTGACTGACAGAGGGTTTTCAACTTGCTGCCCTCCGGCTCCCCGTCACAGCAGCCATAAACATGACAAGCAAAGGTACAAGTCGTCTAGCAGCCGAACAGGAACTAGTTGGAGGTGCTTGGAGCCATGAAGTGCGCAGTGTGCAATGTCGGGACCCGCGGTGATCTGCAGCCTCTCATTGCACTGGGGCTGGGTCTCCAGAAGAAGGGCCGCTTGGATGAGGAATCACATGCCACGCCTCGTACCGAATGGTGCTGATGCCGATGCTGGTTCTGCTGCTGGAGAGAAGCGTCATTCAGCAAACGCGGGCCGAAGTCCGCAAAAACAGTCAGCAAACAGGCAGCCGAGAGTCAAAATCCTGAGGGCCTGATGTCGCAAACAGCGGGCGCGAAAGTCAAAGACAGGAGAGCACAAATTCAGCAAAAAACATACCTCGCAAATGCAAGCCATTGTCGTGTAGTTCTTTAGGATACTCCAGATCAACATCACGAAAATAGCCTTGTTCATTGTTATCATAGCTTAGTATATCTTCCTCATTTATGTCAGTATGTTGTATAAATGTTATGTTAGTATAAGGTAACGTCATTGACATAGCCAAACCACATAAATTATTAGCATCTAAGTATAAAATGTAAGATGATTCTTTTTCTTTGTCATATGAACCTGTCATATACTTGCTGTTGGCTTCTACTTTTCTGACTGACACCTGCGTCATCCCACCTCTTAATCCTCTCTCAATCATTTTACAAATCTCTTCGTCGTGTATTAGGTCTCGTTTTATTCGGGTTCTTGATAACATAGCGTCCCAACTAAAATTAGGTAAGGTGATATAATGGGCTGGGTCAAGCTGGTAATCTTCTGAACACTTCTGCCTGAAGTTCTCAAAGACATCGGTCAGTAATAGTACATCAGTCTGAAGATATAAGTCATGATACTGTCCCAGATTCCGAATGTTAAAATGCTTCGATATCTTCTTCGCCCTTTCATATTCGGTGTCTTTGACACCTTTCTCTGTTAGTTTGCTGTAAAAAGCTTCTTTTCACGGTAGCTGTGTATCAATATATTTATTGAAGTCGGGAAAGTAGTCATAAGGATAAACGCCCTTGTCTGTTAAAGGATCCAAGTCTTCATCAATATATATATATATACATACATACATATATACATGCTTTTCTTACTATGAAGAAATTATTCTGCCAGTTCTCCCTCTTCTCGTCGTTCTCATATTTCGTTAACTTTACAAGCTTATCTAAAGAAGACAACAAGCTGAAACTGTCTGTAAACTCAAGCTGGTTAATTGAAAAGTTAATGATTTTTTTCGCTGTTCTGTGCTATTACATTTATTTATCCTTGTCGATGTTTAGCTTCTCCATATGTGCTAGCCTCGAAAAAGCGTCAGACAGAACTGCATTTAAATGCCGGTCAGCTTTCTCAGGGCGTTTGCTGTTTGGGCCTGCGGTGCCTCCGATACGGGCTGCGGTGTTTGCTGAACTCGCCTCCGCGGCTTTTGACTTCCATCTGTGCTGTTTACCGACTTTGCCCCCCTTGTTTTAGCTTTTTTTGCTGACACCGGCCCTCCCCTCTGCTGCTGCTGGTGATGATAATGGTTGATGATGCTAATGATGGTGGTGATGAGGAGGAGGGATACGGTAAGTATGAGCAGGAGCATGATGACGAGAAGGACGAGGAGGCTGACCACGATGATAGAGATTATGATGGTAGCGACGAACATGGCTGTGGAAACGACGATGACGATGTGAATGGTGATAGCGATGATGAGTAGGTAGTGATGATGGCTACGAGGATGGCGATGCCGATGATAAGTCAGCACCATGTTAAGATATTACGGCGGCTGCTGCTGCTGCTGCTGCTCGACACCACCAGTAGCAATGATCATTGTCACACTTGAAAATAGCTGTCTTCGGAATCATACAAATGCAGCAGGATTCCACACAAGATTTATACAGCGGATGCTTGCTCTGCAGATCTTGCCTGGTTTTCCGGGATCACATGGCCAGTTGAAGATGGACCGAAATTCTGCGAAGCATCCGAAGCTGCTTTGACCCTGTCTTGGGACTCTTGGACAGACCCCTGGCAACGTGCATGATGCCTTGTCACAGGTTGGGATGTCGTCGTCATTTCTGAAGAGCGCATCAGCAACCCAGCTGAAGACACAGATGCAGCACTGTTGATGGAACGTGTCGACCCAAACTTAAACCCAACAAGGTCAGAAATGATTTCAATATGTGCCCGCCCCTCTGCGGAGAGGGGGCAATCTTGTGTTCAGCTGCCCTTGCGGCAACGCTTCGGGTGCATGCAGGCTTTGGGTCTAGCATGCGGAGTCGAGCCCATTTTGTTCAACTGGCCTGTGCGACTGCATCACTGGAGTCTCCAAGTGGCAGTTTCAACTCTAGTGCTGCACAAGGACTTGCAGAGTAGCGTGCAGAGTAGTTAGCTTGGAGCTGTGATGGTACCAGATGCGGTCTAATTTTTGGTCAATCGCACGGCGCTGGTTGTCCGGAGAGGGCGCGGTTGATGTAGGGTTGAGGGATTTGTTCTGTAGTAGCTCCCCCCCAAACCCTAAACCCAAAGAGCCCCCAACACCTCTGATTCAAACCTAGAAGCACCGGAAACCCTGAAGCACGCAGCTGTTGGAGGGCCTTTGGTGGAGGAGTTCGATCTGGAGTTTCGAAGTATCGCGGGCGATTCCACCGGAATCATCTTCGAGCAGGATGTTACCTGTGTATCGGTCTATCTATCTATCGATCTATCTATCTATCTCATCTGTCTCCATCTGTATACACGCGGGCTTTCTTAGGGTGTCTTAGGTGCTGTGTCACGTTCTTTCTTCACTTCCTCTATTGATTTCGCCCGATTCTTAGCGCCGCAGCTCAGTGTTGAATATCTGGTGCAAGCGAGGTTCGGGTCAATGAGGATCCTTTGGAGTTCATTATGCACGGGCGAAGCGGACGGTATCCTCAAACACGCTAAACGCCCCCATCACCCAGACAACTTCCCTGGCGCCGCTCGTCGTGCAGGAGTATGCCGAGATGCTGGCCAAAGGCAAGCTGATGGCCATGATGCAGGAGACGCAGAAAAGGAAGGTGCCGTGTTGCAGAAGTAGAGCAGCGAGAGCAGTGGAAATAATGAGCAGCAGGAGCAACGAAGAAGGTCCGACCCCTTCATCGCACACACCACCGTCCTCCTTGAGTCAGTCAGGCCACCTGGTACGAACAGTTCTTGACGGATCTCGTGGACAAGACGAAGGACATGGTTCAAAGCCGACAAGCATCCAAGACCCAGAGCCTCACATCCTAACCTTCGTAAGTGGACCTACGGTTGATGATATAAATCCTGCACTACCCATAATAAGGAATATACCATAATTCCCATAGTTTAGTGTCCTTAAGGTAATGCAGGATTCATACCATCAGTAGGAGTTGTAGACATCCGCAGGTTACAACCATTGTCTACAACAGTCACCAACAAAACGACGGTCGTACGAGCAACGATATTGCACAAACGTCCGCCTGGGACCGGGGAAACTTACGTCTGATGACATGGGTTGCTCAAGTCGTTGCCTTGGCCGCATTGGATTAAACAGAATTAGCGACATTTCGTCATGCTTTTCCAAAAGCTCATACTAGCAATAATAGCAGGTAGCCGTCGAGCATGAACACAGGCAGCAGCAGCAGCAGCAGCAGCAGCAGCAGCAGCAGGAGAAGGGGCAGCCACAGCCACAGTATCCACAGTATCCCTACTACGCCACATGCAATCTTTGATGTCTGCTTCTCCTCCAGGACATTCAGATGATCATCTCAGGGCCGTTGGTTTACAGTGAGACCTACTGCGCTACGCCAGCAACGAAAGCCCGCAAAGTGTTTGAAGTTTTGGAGCCCACTGCTTCGGTCGGAAGTACAATACACGCGCAAGAATCACTAAATGTACCTGCCCGATAGACGTTGATGAATGTATCTGGATTTCTTCCAAAGACATGAGTCGTTTGGGGGCTGCCGGACTAGGCGATTCTGAGCCGAAAGTTCATCGAGCCCCTGCTTCTGGTCTAGATCCCTTTTTGAAGTGGCCGTACATACATACGTACAATAGGCGTAAGCACATTGCAAACAGGTAGAGACAGAACTGTGTAGTTTTGGCAGGGGAAGTAGAAATCTGAAGAGCATGAATAACGAAGACCGCACTCGTTAGTCTACAGCAACTTTGGCAAGTAGGTGGAAAGTTCCTTGGATCCTCATAACCTGCATCGCCAGAGGCGTCGCAGAAAAGCTGGGCGTACCATGGATACCTGTCCTGCCACTCGCCGGAGGATCTGACACGATTCAACGCTGTAAAAGGCTATTGAGAACTGCGTACGGCGTACTCTTTGCTGCAGGTACTGTGAAAGTATCAGTCTGTTTGCTTCGTGGTTCCTCTACTTGCGCCGCACAAGAACTAGAGTGCTACGGAAGAAAGTGGAAGCATCGCAGAGCTTGAAGTTGAACTTGAGCAACGAGGGGATGATAATGACTGTTACATGGAGATGAGAGATGAGTCTGTTGGTGGTGCTGCGGAAAAATGAGGCTTTCTTCATAATAATTCAAGGCACGGCCCTTCATGTCAGAGTCAGCGTCTGCTCATTTCCAACCATCAACTCGCCTCATCTCTGCAACCATCGCACGACACGGCGGTCTAAACTCTCTGACTTGCGCTGCGGGCACAAAGCCCGAACTCAGAGCATGGGCCTAAACCTCAATTCTAACTTAATCCGTGCCAGTCTTTGGGTCATGTGATGCAGTGATGCTCATGACCATGCTAAGTGAAGCGTTGCTGACTCTGTCTACGAATTTCTTATCGTAGCTATCATGTCTGTTGAGGTCCGAGGTTTAGTCCTGATGCTGAACCGGTCAGTGGTTGATTCAGGGGAGGCTTTTGGAGGCATCAGTGTAGCATAGGTTCATAGTCCAGAGTGGCCCGTGATGCTATTCCTGCGGGTTGCTTGTTATGATTGTACTGAAGTACCACGCAAACTCACTCTAATTACTAAGGCCATTTTTGTGGCAGTGGTGGTAATGTTGGCTGTCGTGGGACTACTGGTTCAATTAGGGTACCTGCTTTATACCCGTGTACAGCTCCCTGTACTTATACTATAATACCCTTCCCACTCTTCCAATTTACAAGGTTCCTATATTAAGTGTGGCCCGTACTTCCAGCACGCCGAGGTACGGTCCTCTCTACCCCACTGCCGAGTTTCCAAATTCCTTCGTCATGGAGTCGAACTGGTTTGGTTGGCTCAACCTCTTCACGTGCTCCGGGTTTCAGATAATTCGATAAACTCCAGACTGGAGCCAGGAAATCCCGGAACCTGATCAACCCCGAGCGATCCCTGAACCCGAACGGAAACCCGGCAGCCGAACCTGAAGAACTACCAAAACTGAGCCTTTAGACGGACTGCAGCTACCTGTGCCCCAGCTACGCAGGACGACCAGAGCTACAGCTGATAAAGCTGCTACCTGTACTGTACTACTACCCTGCCACGGCTATTACCTACCACTACTGCTTCTGCAACTACTACTCCTCCTGCTACTGCTACGACTTGTGTTGCTGCTAACAGAAAACCACGGGTACTAATGCTAATGCTGTCTAATGCTCGTCTTCTTGAAGGAATTGTTCTCGCTATCAGAATGACAAGGGCTCTTAATAACTATCAACTCCAGCAGCTGTATGTTTACCAGCCTCTGTGGTAGTGCTGATGAGAACAGCAAACAGACTCATGAATTGCAGCAGTTATGCTGATCGCAGCACAGCCGCAGTAGCCGCAACAGTAGCACCACCAAGGATTTAAGCCAAACGTGGGAAAGCCAAGCAGCTAATTCTATGAACCTACCGAACAGCGTATCAAAAGATTGCAAAGACGTCAGTTCGACTAGAACAAACCACCGAACAACCAACATAGCAGCAGTGAAGGTCCCTGATCCGTGAGCTGTTTGGGCTCCAGGTACAACTTCCTTTTCTGGGCCCTCTGGATGCAGGAGGGTGGTCAGATCAACCGCTTCCGAGCCGCTTTGATCCATGGAGGGTTTAGGGGATTAGAGCTCAGAGCAACACATGAGACGGCTTTAGATTCAAGAAAGAGGCTTCAACTTAAGGATTTTTACTACTGCCTTTGCCATCACGGCGAGGGTGGTTATGGTTTAGGCAGTCTCACGACGACCAAATGAAAGTAGCGATAGTCTCCCATGCAGGGTGGTACTGTGGCATGCGTCAGCATCCTCACGAGACTGTTGATGTTAGCTTTCCGCCACACTTCTATGCCTCAATTTCCACATCAGCGCAAGTTTATCAGTCTTGCCACTGTAATCGACATGTTGCTCATTGGCTCGCTGGAAACATGAATATTTCACTGTCACGTCATTCTTCTTGCTGCTAGTATGCTTGCAGAAACTTCCCCAAAGCAACCCTACTGGAAATTCTGCTCTCATCATGGTGACAGTGGGTCAAGGGGATTCGTGCTCACCTGCGCTAGTACGGTTGATGACGGTGCGAGGATGCCAGCAAAAAAGGTCTCACCAAGACTGGTGTCACAGAGAATGGCTTGTAGAACCCTATTATAGAGCTACCTCTTTCCCGAGTAGTACCCTTTTGCCCTTTTTGTTTTGGGGTCTCCTTCTTAAAACCCAATAGTAGGAAAAAGGGTACCCTTATTAGCTACGAGCCCTAATAGTAATAATACGAACATAAATTTTAAAGATAATAACAACAATAATAATAATATATAATGATTATAGAGCTACTTAAGCAAACACGCCTGTCATCGCCCAGGAGAAGCTGGGGCTGTCACCACTGCAGGTTCGCCGTGGGATGATGACCTTGATCGAGGAGCAGCCCGGCTCTTCCAGGCTTCTATATAGGGTTTTTTGCAGGGTATGTAGGGGTGTTTGCACAAATCTTTGCAGGGTTTTTTTAGGGCGTTTTAGTTAAATTATGTGAGTTTTACAGCAAGAGTTTTACCGGCGTTTTGGGATTTTAGTAGGCTTCACAGCGCTTTAAGATTCCATAGGAATTTACACGGTTTTAGACTAGAAGCTCTTATAGCGATTCATAGTTCACAGGGCTTTATGAGATCTCTGAAGGGTCGTATAAGGTATTGTAGGGATTTTATTGTAAGCCTTAGGAGGCAGAACAGGGGCTTTACGAGGCTGTAAGGGTCTCCTAGGGTTTTATAGGGTGCAGCGTGTAGGGTTTAGAGTTTAGGGACGTAGGGACGTAGGGTTCCTGGGCTTAGGGTTTACGATGTGCTGTTGAGGTGCCAGGTGCCCATTCGGGTTGAGATGTGGCGCTTCAAGTTTAGGGTGCAGACGTCTAGGAAGCGGGCTTTGGGCTATCTTTCAGTCTGACTGGTTTAAGCGAAGTTTCTGCCAACTTCAGTTTTTTCAGTGTTTCGCACCCGTAACCGAATGGAGCAGGCATCGAAACATAAGACACGAACCTGAACCCAATTTGCGGTCCTTATTGACTAGAACAGCGTTTTGGACGAGTCAGGACCTTGATCGACAGGAGGATATGAGGGTCCTCAAGGCAGTAGGGGTTGGGAGGGATGGAGGGAAGAGGGGGTCCCCCCTCAGCGTTCCTAGGAACAATTCAGGGCTTTGGGCCAAAGGTCCGGTTTAGCGGCCCCTTCTTGTAGTAGACTTGTACTAAAGCAAGCATCTCGCGCGGGCACTAAGTACAGGCCCTCCCCCAGCCGGCGTCCTGAGATGGAGATTTCTACTTGGGATCTAGTCAAGGTCAAGAACATCCGCCTGATCCTTTAGGATGCAGATTTTTGTGCTTTAGGGGCCGAGAGCTCAGATATCTGAGCGTAACATACTAAAGTATACTGTGACATCGTATGTCAGCGAATAAAAATCTGTTGCAGGGTATAATGTCGCATAACATGGTAAAAACAACGCAGCGTAATATATGATATAGTAGAGTACAACACAATACAGTATAAGGTAGTTTAACGTAGTGTAAGATGGTATAATATAGTATGTTTTAGTATAGTCCAATATGGTATAATAGAGTATGGTAAGTATAATGTTGTAGACATCAATGTAATATAGTTTAGGATAGGATGGTATAAAATACAATAGTATAGTACAGCATAGTATAGTATCATATAGCTTCGTATAGTTTCGTATAGTATAGTAGTAGTATTAGTATCAGCATCAGTGTCAGTATGAGTATTAGTATTAGTATTCGTATCAGTATTAGTAATAGTATAAGAATATAGTAGTATAATTGTGTAATAGCATAATGGTATAATAGTATAATCGTATAATCGTATAATAGTATAATAGTATAGCAGTATAATAGTAAAATAGAATAATAGTATAATTGTATAATAGTATTAGTATATACAGTATTATAGTATAATCGTATAATCGTATAATCGTATAGTAGCAAAAATTAGTATAATAGTATGATAGTCTGAGTGTATGACAGTATGATAGAAAAGAAGCATAGTCGTATAATAGTATAGTAGTATAATAGTACAATGGTATAATAGTTGAACAGTATAATAGTTTAACAGTCTAATAGTATAATAGTAAAGTATAATAGTATCATAGTATAATAGTATAATCGTATTTTAGTATTTTAGGATTATAGTATTATCGTATTATAGTATTATGGTATTACCGCATTATCGAACTATAGTATTATAGTATTAGTGTAGTAGTGTAGTAATGTAGTAGTGTAGTAGTTTATTAGTGTATTGGTGTATTAGTGCATTAGTGTATTAGTGTATTAGGATTAGCATTAGGATTAGCATTAGCGCATTAGTGTTGGTATTAGTATTACTATTCGTATTCTAGTATTAGTATTAGTATCAGCATTAGTATAGTATAATATAGAGTATAGAGAATAGAGACTAGAGTATAGAGAATAGAGACTAGAGTATAGAGTATAGAGTTTGTATCAAACCCAGATCCCATCTTGGCCAAGGAAACAGCTGTTGGTCATTGGTGGCTTCCACGAGGCACTTTGGAGGGGTGGGGTTGGGGTTGGGACCCCAGGTGCCTGTATTGATCTAGAGTACGTTGACACGGTGATGGACTGGAGCCATGCAGTGATGCAGTGGAAACCCCAAACCGTTATAGACCTCGGAAACTCCCATTTCCAGATCCTAAAACTCCAGCCCAAAACCCTAGGCGCTATGCCCTACTAAGGCCCGCTTGTCGAGATGCATGTTCGGTTTCGAGTTCTTGTGGCGCTCTGGTACCTTACCATCTTGGACTTGGGGGGTTCAGGAGTTCAAGGACTAACTAAGGTTTAGCATCTCCAACATGAGGGTTCCAGGTTGAAGGCCGTAAGTCGGGCTTCTACAGGTTTGATCCATTTCTTTCCCCCCTGGAGATTGTCGACCTCTTTGAACCCAAAACCTCTGTGACCCTCGCAGCCAAGAGCCGTAAAGTTTAGGGCTTTTCAAGAAAAGGTCACTCCTGTAGCACCGCAGCCCGGAGGTCCTCACGTCACCCTCAGTTTCTGCGTCTTGGCAGGTGATCATCCCACAGCCCAAAGCGCCGGCTGACTGGCCAGAGTCCTTCTTCTTCCCGAATGCCTCTGGGAACTTCTGGTGGGTTTTCACTCGGAGTCGGGCTCGTCGTCGCAGCCGTCCTGGTCCTCTTCGTCAGCGGTCGGTTAGTAGAGGGACGCGGATCAGAAGGAGGACGGGGAACGAAACGAGCCAGGAAGGGAGAGCAGGAAAGGACAAGGAGCAGGACGTAGTGCCCTTCCCGGCATCGTCACACTCTCGTGAGGGTGTGTATTCAGGTTTTTCGGGAATCCTACACGCATCCAGGGTTGCATTGTGCATGTCACGCCTGTGGATGCTTAAGTTGCTGGACTCTAGAAAGCCCAAAAATCCGAAGTCACACGATCTGGCTGAGTTCTTCTTCGTCCCCGACACGCCAGCTGATGCGGTGCCAAGCTCGCTGAAATCCTTTCTGGCGCAAGCTGGGTCCAGGACGGGTGCAGCAAGCCCTGGCTTAGAATTCATGCCGTTGTGAACTCTTCGGTGCATTTAGGCTGCTTGTTGTTGTTGGGCATGCCAGCGCATCTTGGAGTTCGAACCGTTCCGAGGCCTGCGGCTTGACCGGAGATTCGCCGCAGAAAGCTCTGGTAACTAGTGAAGGACCTCAACCCTACCTCACTCGGCAAATCTCCCGCCTTTCCTGAAAGCCACCAGCAACAACTCTCGATTTCAACAAGGCTTCCCAAGCCCGAGCTGTCCTGCAGAAGCTTGGGTCACTAGCGCTATTCTTATAATCATCATTCACTCTACTATACTGTACTACACTGTACCATACTCTACTCTGCCCTATACTCTACTCTACTCTACCCTAGTATACTATACTGTACTGTACTGTACTATACTATACTATACCATACTACGCTGTATCAGTATCATAGCAATCAGCAGAGTCTCCCCTGAAAGTCGCACTAGGCCGGTCGTGTACCTGGGACTGGGCTCCATGCCCGCGCCAAGGCCGACGCACGTTTCTTCTTTTTTTTGTTTGAGGGGGCGGGGGGTGGCAGGGTTTTTACAGCTAATTTAGCTTCGGGTCCAGAGTTCAAGGTCTGGGTTCAGAGTTGGGGGTGTAGAGCTCGGGATTTAGAGCTTAGGCAGTTTAAGGCTCTGGTGATGCTTTCAGCATGCTCACGGATCTGCCCCACCCGAAGCCCACCCCCCTGTAGCAACCTGTAGGACTGTTGGCCTTAAGCGGGACTTGGAGTACTCGAGCAGCCTCTTAAACAGAGTCTAGAACCTAAATCCCTAACCCTGAATGAACCAATCGCAGAGGCCGCAGGAGCTGGTTTCCCTAGCGGAGGCCATCGTCGAGAAGCTGGAGGCAAAGTCCTTCGCAATCCAAAGTTCTGGGCTCAAGGTTCAGGGTGTTTGTACGGCTGGGGTCGCGGGCTGTAGGGTGAGCGGCCGCCCGAGGGTTCGGCATTGTGTTATCGGCGAAATGCGCCCTTTGAGGGTTTAAGATTTGCTACTTGGCCGGTTCAACGGTGTTGGTGTTTGGGTACGTCTGTCTGCTCTTGCGATGCTCAGCCTTTCGTACTCGCGGTCTGACCACACGAGTTCATTGGTGTCGGTTCGGGAAACACCGGACCACGTGGGGCGATCAGTTTTGCCCGCACTGCACAAAACGCATCAGAGCCGGGAGGTGGTGGGGCATGGTGCAGTGGTGCCGCTTCGGCAGGATAGGTGACAAAAACGGCAGCGATCAAAGCCGTTTTCATCAGAGCCTTCCTATTTCAAAGCGGGATCCTCATGTCTCTGCGCATCTTGGTGTCTTAAGTACTCTAGATCTCGCATATTGCCTTGGAAGACGAAGCTTCGGCTCTGCCCCGACCCATCCACCAGCTTGTGAAAAAGGCCTGTGTGGCATCAAGCGCCCCCCCCAAATAGTTACTAGGACACTAGTATGAGCATCATGAGCTTCGAAATACACTTCATCGGAGTGATTGTGAGTATATCGTACTTGTTATCTCCAGCGCATTGTACCGCAGAATTTCTTGGATTCATTTACTACGACTACTTGGAGGTTCATGGGTAGTTACAGGTGGGGTAACACGTCCCCGAGCCTGGGTTGTCACTATGATTGTCCTACTTATAGCCCTAATTATACACATTCCCAAGCCCTAAGCCCCAAAAAGCCGTTTAGAACCCCTAAAGGAGCCCTACTTATGACCCCCACATAAAGCTTCTTGTTGAAGGCGTCCTTGTGCGACTGTCCTTGCTTCGGAGGTCTCGGCAGTTCTTTGTGCAGGCTGGTCTGACATCTCCTTCAAGTCCCAGGACCTCTGAAAGCGGGCGGTACCTTGTTCAGGGGTCCTCAGAAGAGGTATCTGATCCTGTCCTTTAGCGTTCGTTTTTGAGGGTCCCTGTAATCTGAGACTCCCGAGTTCTTCCACCTCAAAGTGCGATGGAAGTCTCGTACTGTAGATGCCTGATGAAGAACAATACTCTTCCTTAGGGCTCTTTTTTGTAATCATAGCATACAACCCGTTTCATGTATTCAAGCCCCTACATCACACCACCAAGGTTTTGCAAAGTTTTGGCCAGTGTTGGGGCTTAAGGTTCAGAGTTCAGTGCGGAAAGGTTTCACACAGGAACTGGGGCAGCAACTGAGAGTTCTAGCCCCTCCATCCACGGGGTAGTTCAACAGAGACTTGTCCAAACGCCCTTAACCCATTTCTAAACCACTTTGATTTTGGATTCTGTGCCTTAGCTTGAGTTTTGAAGATTGGAAAGTCAGTTCCCGGAGTCAAAGCTGCCGGGCAGGTAGTGGTGCTTGCAAAGGCAACAATAACAATAATGTAATAGTGATTATAATGACGAGCATCCTAATATCCGTGTTAAAGCATCAAAAATGCTGGTAATCACACTATGATCATTGTTAGTACGAAATCAGTGTTACTATTAGCACTACTTGCCTAAATTCCCTCAGCTGCAAGTCCCCAGACCTTTAAACTCCAGAGAGGATACGGAACAGCGGATTCTCGTCACGAAGTCGGCGCCCCACGACTTCCTGCTGCCGCGCTGCCGCGTGCTGCTGCATCACGCTGGCGCCGGCACCTGCGCCGCGGCCCTCCGCGCGGGAGTGCCCAGCGTGCAGCCTGTCATTGAAGCTTTCCGGGCAGGGGACCGGAAAGGTTCCTGGTAGCCATCAGGTGACAGTATCTGTACCTGAGAAAGCCGAGTTGAACCTCAGGCACTTCAACGCTGGGCAAGAGTACTCTCCAGTATGTGTGTGTAGACATACACGGAACGTATTAACTGGTTTAAGGTTGAGCTCAGTTGGAGTCAGCTATACATCTATAAGAAGGAACCGAAGCTCCAGGTAAATCATACATTGCAAGTATCTTTATTCGTATGTAGCCACAATGCTGGTGTCAAGAGCAAAGATGGACAGTGGCCGCAAGACTCCTCGCGTACCACCAACAACTCGAGCCAATGGTAAGTTCTGCTAACATCATATTTCTGAATTGTCCTGACGGTCAGTACTGTTGTACTACAATTGCTGCCCTCGCTTATGTTGCAATGCATTGCTTTGCGATGCTGGTCATTACCTCATTACCACCGCTTTCTCTGTAGTGTCAAGCAGCAGCAATAATTACTGTCCTGGTCATGCCATACAGCAGCCCCCCGTTCGATGGTGCGCTTCCCGGGTCACGCAGCCTTTGGCCTTGCCCTCCTTCCGCCCCCTTGGTGCCACCTACGGGGTCTGCTGATGTTGTTGAGCAATCACTAACTGCAGCAGCAAACACCCTGTCACGGTGTTAGCAAGGGTGATGCTCATGGCAAGAGTAAAACCAATAACAATATCATAGTCCTGAACGAACGAAGGACAGTATTTGTAATAGTTGGTTTTGCTTGCTGCCCCTGTGCGCACCATGCTGTTTATGGTTATGAACCATGTCTGTGACTTAGGTTACGATTGCATGTGCGAGTAGTATTTCCGAGAAAATGGGGCAGTGTCTTTTCGTCGTGGTATGTTACGGTTATGATTCTGATGAAACCTTTTGTGCTTACACCTCCGTCTCAAAAGTCTTTCGAAGTTGACCCTGCATGAATCTGGAGAATCGAGACGTCTTGGATTCTTTTCGACTGGCCAGTGTGGGAGTGCTTCGACTACGAGTCACTGCGCTCCCAGGTGCCTGCCGGTGATGCTTGATCAGCCCAACAATGCCAAGAACCTCACTCGCCTGGGAGTGGCTACCCCGCCGATTCTTTTCCAAGATGTAGCAGCTGGCGTGGACCGCGTGGTGGAGTCGGTGGGACATTTGGGTTTTTTCTGGCTCCTGGGTGTTGTGGCTTTCGGTCCCAGGCTTACGTTTCTGACTGGTAACTTCGTGTATGACTGACCCGATTAGCCTCCATAACGTCTTTCGGGCCGGGAAACAGCAGGCTGCTCCTTAAAGTTGCTTGCGTGAAGCGCTTCCTTGCTGTGCTTGCAGGTCTAGCGTACTCACATAGCCGTTGCCGTCCTCGTCCGCGCCGTGGTAGTCCGAGGTCCTCGTCGTCGTAGAAGTAGTAGTCGTCGTAGTACTCGCAGTAGTTGTAAGAGTTGTAGTAGTCGTAGTAGTCGTAGCAGGTCGAAGCAGGTCGTCGTCTTAGCAGTGGAAGTCGTGGTAGCCGTGAATTGTGGTAGGGCATCGGACGAATTGGGAGAGGCCATGACACAAAGGCACACGCACAGTTGTGAAAGTATAAAGTAGTAGTAGCGGCAGCAGCAGCAGTAGAAGAAGAAGAAGTAGTAGTAGGAGTAGCAGTAGCAGCAGCAGTAGCAGCACCAGCAGCAGCAGTAGTAGTAGAGTAGAGCAGTAGCAGGAGCAGCAGCAGGCCGGTATGAATAGAAGGGGCAGGAGCCAGCAGTAGCAAGTCGTAGCGGTGGCATAGGTATAGAATTAGCAGCAGCAGGGGTAGCAGGAGCAGACTTGGTTTCACCACCAATACATTGGGTAGCCCCAACTCCATATACGGCGATTCCTGAGCCCTCACACTCGCTTACTGCCCAAAGGCCTAAACTCGCAAAACGCACAGGTGAAGACGGCCCTGGAGTCCTCTGAGATGCGCGCAAAGGCGGAGGCAATTGCAGGCCCCGCAGATTCGAGCTGTGCTTGGGCTTCTGTCAGTTGAGTGCTTGCAAGTTTGGCATGTGCGAAAGCTCAAGCCGCTGCCTCTTAAACCCAAAGACAGCCTAAATGAACCCTAGGCCCTGATTCGGTTCCAGTATTCTACCCTTAAACTTAACCCCCATTGTCGGGCATCTGACGTGATGGGTGGTTGACAGCCGTTGTTTGGGAGGTTCTTGCACTCGCAACAGCCCTATTCAGTCTTGAGTATACAGCATTGTTCTGCCGCGCTTCCAGATGCCACCGGACAGCCAATCGCTGCAAAGACTATGCTATGGGTCCCTTTTGGTCTCCGTTTTTTAAGGGTGCCGTACTATATTGGGGACCTAAAAAGGGACCCTAGTTTAGAAAACTACCCACATGGAACCATGGAGTCCAGATCGAGCTCCAGGGACTCGAAGGCAAACCGGTCGAGTTCTGGCCCAGCACAGACATCGGCGACCCTAAATGTCCACGTCCGAATACCTAGATGCCAAGCCTCTAAAACCTACACCCCCCATCACAACCTGAAGCCTAAACTTCCAAACTTCCTCAACATAGAAGCCTAAGCTTTAAAACACCCTGAACCCTGAAGCCTAAACCCTGAATCCAGTCGAACCCTGAAGCCTAAGCCCTGCGCCCTTGTGAAATCCTTGCAGAAACCTCAGGGAACCCTGAAAGAAGCCTTCTAGACCTCCTCTATGGAACCCTGCATAGAACCCTTATAGAACCCTGCACAGAGCCCTTATAGAACCCTGCATAGAGCCCTTATAGAACCCTGCATAGAGCCCTTATGGAACCCTGTGTAGAACCCTTACAGAACCCTGCATAGAGTTCTAGAGCCCTTATAGAACCCTGTCTAGAAACCATGACCTTGCAGAGCCTTCTAAAAGCCCACAGAAGCCCCCCTAAACCCTAAACCCTAAACCCTAAACCCTAAACCCTAAACCCTAAAAGCCCACAGAAGCGCGCAGAGGCCGCATCCGGGAGAGCGACGGCGTCTCCCGGGCCATCGAGAGGATCCTTCGGGTCTACCCGGAGGGCCGACTCCCCCAAGAAAGAGCTGCAATGAAGTCGGGGCAGTTGAGAGGTTGAAGGGCCATTTTGGTGCGCTTTAAGGGCCATTTTTGTTCGGTCTTTGAGTACATGCTCTAGGACATACGGTCGGGTAGGGTAGGGGTGTTTTAGGGTTGAGGGCGCAGGGTAGGACTCATGGTTTTAGGTGAGGATGGGTATGAGTGGTAGCCCTGAGCCCGAAACTGCTTGTCTCAAGCTACAGGGGAGTCGAGCATTCGGGCTTCAAGTACTTTAAGTCGTAGGGTTAAGTTTAAGGATTATTGAGCTTCTGGCGTACCATCGCTGAAGTTGACGACAAAAAGCTGCGTCACCGGGTGACTTGCATGGATGCAATTGGGCAGAGAAAGCCAAAATGCAAGGTAAAGCCCCAAGGCCACACCACCCAAAGTCCAAACCTTACGCGTTAGCCCTAAACCCTAAACCCTAGACCCAAAGTCCAAAACGTACTCCTTGATACCGAATCGAGCCGGAGCCTCCCGGAACGCCAAGAGCCTGAACAAGTGCCCGAATTCTTGAACGCCTTATGGGCCCGATTGCGCGGTTCTAAAGGTTGCAGCTGAAGAGTCTCAATGATGTGCTTCAGGCGGTAGATAGACTTCATCCTAAGGCACGCCACAAGACCGCCGAATATTTTAGCTCCTGAATCATGCCGGCGCAACCCATGAAACGTCCAAGGAATCTAACATGCTTTGGGACTTGCGAATCATACACATAATGCGAAAACCGGAGCGGAGAGCCTCTTTGCAATTTGGCGAACATGCTGCCATATGATACAAGGTGACCATCAGAATGACTGCGATGGAGACGACGATGATGGATGAGGGTGAGGGTGAGGATGAGGATGGCAACGATGCTGATGATGATGATGCTGATGCTGATGTTGCTGCTCATGCCGCTGATGATAGTGACTATGCCCGTGATGATATCTACGATCATGTTACATACAAAGTCACTGACACGGTTGACGCACATGTTATCGCTGAACTTCAAACTAACTCAGTGGGGTGCAGAGGTTTCGGAGTGCAGAGGCCCATTCCCTTCGACTTCCTGGTAGAGGGCGAGTTCCTGCGCTCCAGCATCTCCAGCTACCTGGAGGACCCTTTGCACATCTTGGGTCCAGCATTTCTTGAATGGGTGGGGGAAGAGACCGAGCCCTAACTTATAGAACGCACATAGTTTTCCGAGTCTGACTGCAGCCCAGTCAATCAAAATCAGATAGATCGGGCACTTCCCTTTGACCGCCACCGACTGTTGCTAGGCTGAACAGGACCACAGCGGCCTGGACAGTAGGACACGCACCCAACTGTTTTCGGACCTGGTATTGGGGGACTTCAATGTTGAACTGCCCGGAACGAGGGCTGCGTTTGCAAGAATTAGGTTATTTTCAGGGATGCCGAGCCATGTAAATGTACATGTTCGACGCAGCCTTGGATGCGGATTCCTCCTGCCAATACGACGGTTAAACTCGAACACTGCATCCGAACCTCTCAACTTGTCCCCTGAACCCTTAAACTTAAGTTCCCACCTTCCCAGCTGCGTAATCAACAAGTCGCACTCTCAACAGACAGCTGCGGCAATAGGCGCACAAGCTGTCCTCCGAGAAAGTGCTGAAGCTGGAGTTTGTGCCAGGGCCCACGATCTCTTTTCGGGCTGTCCTTTTCGTTTTTGGCTTCGCACGGTTGTGTTACAAGGATACAGTGCTTGCAAGTTTTCCGGCTTTTTTTGTGGTAGCTCTGGACAAACAGCCCCACAAGTTCGAGCCAGCAGCACTCAGCTTAAGTTGCAAGTTTAGCATAGGAAAGACAGAATGCAGAATGTTGCAGCTGCAACGGCCGCTGCTGAAACCTCGTTTGCCACACAATTGCCGCTTCAGTAGTGCCGCAGGCGCAGACGGCAAAAAGTCATGCTGGATGATTCCTTTCGAAAGGCAGAGCACTCGCCCGACAGTCGTGCAAAGGTTAATGCAGCAATGCAGCCGTCTAAGCCTCTAAGCAGCTAGCAATACCCCCGTAAACCCTAAACCCTA